GGGGGCCTCCGCTGTCAAGGCGGGGGAACCGGTTCTCTCGATTTCTCTCTCCTTCCCCAGCGGCTTCAACGCAGACGTGAGCCCGAGCCGGGCCCGCCCCGCCCCCTGCTCTCCGGCTCTCACGCCGCCCCCCGAGAAAGGCTGCCCACCTGCCCTGGGACCCCTACAGTGCCCCCACGAGAGTGGCCCCTGGAGAATGCACTCTGAGACAGTGACTATCCGTGCGGAGTCCCCGAGCAGGGGCCCCCAAAGCTCTCCGGAGTGGTCACAAGCCCCACTCCCGCCCCGGCTCCAGTGTGTCAGCAATGGGGGAGAGCCTAACTAAATCTGCCTGCGCCCCTCCACCAAAGCCACGAGTCGGTGGTCTTCTCCGGAAGTGCATGGCCCCTCCAGACTCCCACACTGACCACACCTCCTCCTGCCTCCTAAGGTGACCCGAACCAGGTGCCAGGAGACCGTCGCTGGCCGAGGCTGAGGGACCGAAGGAGCAGGGTCCAACCGGGCCCCCCATAGGGCTCCTTCGCCACTTTCTCAAGCGTTCCTCGACAAGGAAAAAGTGTAAACCGAGTCACTAAGCACACTGGGCCCCGGAGGCGGGGTAATCAAGCTGCCCAGACTGGACCAACAAACCCCAAGGAGGACACTGCCCCGGCGCCCCTTCCCCCTGGACCCCGCAGTGCACTCACGTCGGCTGGGCGGGCCTCAGGGAGCCCAAGGGCCGGGTGGGCGGAGCCCGCGGGTTAGGCCCCTAACATCGCCCCGGGCGAGGCTTCCAGGGGCCAAGCCGGAGAGGCTGCGCGGAACCGGAGCTGGCAACGCGAGCGAAGAGGGACAGAGACGCTCAGGAGTATTGTCACTGATACCCAAAGCAGCTGTGTCTGGGCGGGGCGAGGAGGACCCTGAATGCCTCTGCTGGGGACCTTGGGGGGCACGGGGAAGACGAGGCCCGGAGCCGGGAAGGCTGCGTCTTGTCGCTGGCTGAGCTCAAGGAGGGTGGGGCCGCCCCTGCCCCGCCTCTGCCCCGCCTCTTCCCCGCCTTCCCCCTTCTCCCCTCCCCTGGGGATTTGCTGTCCCGGAGTCCCTGCGTCCCTCCCGCGCGCGGCTCTGGGAATGCTGGGCTGAGGCTGGTTGTCTCGTCCGGGCGTTCCCGTTCGCGGGGAGGTCATTTGCACCCTGGATCACCCACTGCTACCGGACTGCAGACCCGCCCGCTCCGGGCCCACCTCCCACACCAGGGCCTTTCCCCGCACAGCTCGGCAGGGCCTGGAAAAACTCCAAGAGGGATTCCCAGCCCAGGAACGCCCACCGGGCGCAGTGTCTCGGGCTGGATAAGAAGGGGACCTGGCCATGGCTCCTTCCCCGACATGGGGGAACACAGAGAAGGGAAGGGATTGTGGGCGGGGGTGCCAGGAGGATCCCTGGAGAGCGAGAGCGCACCCGTAGCCAGCAGGTCTCCTGCGTCCACCGCCTACGTGACGCAAGATACAGCGGCGTCAACGCCTGAGTCGGCGCTGGGGGCCTCGGCCTGCTTCCCTCCCACCCCCCAGTGGAGGTATCCCTTCGCCTACCTTCTCCTTCCCGTGGGATACGGCCCGTGCAGCTCCCGCCCCAGTGTGGAGTCCAGGGGAGCAGGCGCGCAGAGCTCCCAGGTGCGGACCAGCAGCGGACCAGCCACCTGCCGCACCCTTTCCTCTTCCACCCTGCCCCTTTCCCCACCCCCACCCTACTTCCCACCTCAACCCCCGCTCGGCGCCCCACTCCCGACCCTGTCTGCCCGGGCACCTCGGGGCGACCGCTCGCCGACCTCGCCTCCACTTGCCCCGGCAGGCGCGCATGGGCTCGGCATCCCGCGCTCCCTCCTCGACCGCGCGGCTCCCGCGCTGCCAGGTTTCCTGTATAACAGTATAACCAGGGAGGCACCGGCGGAGAGCGCCCGGCAGAACTTCCTCCCGGACTGGGGCTGGGCTGCGGTTGCCAGAGACAATCCCCGGCGTCCTGGCTTTCTGTCCCTTCTGGGCCAGGCCAGTGCATGAAGAGCGAAGACGCCACCCCCTCCTCTGCACTTCCCGGGACCATGGGACACACCTGGCCGTCTCCAAGGAGGAAGAGGCCGCGGGGCTCATATGGTGGGACTGGGGATGGCGGGAGTCTCCCTCGCAGCTTCTCCTGGCCAGATTGCCTTCCCGTCAATTCCCACTCCCTCTTGATCCTTGCGGGGAAGGAGGGCCACCTTCCAATCCGTCCACGGGGTAAGCTCCGAACAACCTCCTGGGGGCCAGGAGACCAGCCCCAGGACCCTCTGCCTTGGGGGTCTTCTGTTTGGGAATTATCTGCCTCTCTGGACAAGCTGCCTCGCCCTGATCTGACCCTGCGCTCGCACCAGACATCACAAGCCACAGCCCCAGCAGACCCCTTGCCCTCAGGGGCCCCAAGGAACAGTTGTGCCTGTGGACCTGGCTGTGTGTGCCGGGAGCTGGCTGATTCAGGCCAGTGTTCTGGGAGGAAGAGGGGCTCGCTCCCCAGGCCATGGCCCCTCTTGACACCACCTCCTGGGGGTTCAGGTTGGGTGGGAAGCTGAATCTGGCCACGCTAGTTCTGGAACTCCCTTACCTGTGTATCTTTGCCCCTGCTAGGCGACATCATGGATTTGCAATAATGAAAACCCAGACCATGGGTAATATCTGCAGGATGCATGATGTAGCTTATTCAAGAGTAAAGAGAGGCCGGGTGCAGTGGCTCACGCCTGTAATTCCAGCACTTTGGGAGGTTGAGGCGGGCGGATCACCTGAGGTCGGGAATTTGAGACTAGCCTGGCCAACACGGTAAAACCCCATCTCTGCTAAAAACACAAAACGTTAGCCAGGCGTGGTGGTGTGTGCCTGTAATCCCAACTACTTAGGAGGCTGAGGCAGGAGAATCGCTTGAACCCAGAAGGCAGAGGTGGCGGTGAGCCTAGATTGCCCCATTGCACTCCAGCCTGGGCAACAAGAGTGAAACTCCGTCTGAAAACATAAAAATAAAAAATAAAGGGAAAAAGAGAAAGAGGAATCAATGGATTAAAAGAGATTTAAGAGACATAAAGTAATCATATTGTATGCATCTTGTTTGGATCTTGATTTAATAAAAATGTTAGAAATGCTTTTTGACATAAAGTAGTTGGAAATTTGAACAATTACTGAACATATAAAGATATTAAAGAACAATTGTTTTAAGAAAGACAGAGAGAGATAATGTGCAACCAACACTTGATAAAGACGAACCCAGCAGCCTATCTATTATTCAAGAAGGTTATGGGGTATGCTGGGAGTCCTAACCGCGGCTCGGCCATCAGTGTGCTGTGTATGCGGCCTTGGCTGAGTCCCTTTCCCTGCCCAGACCTTGATTTTCCCACCTGCCCTTCAGATACTGTCATCATGAAAATATCATCCTTAGCGTGGAAACTCACACACTATAAATGGTGAAGGGGTGGAGAGGGGAACCTCCCTCATGGACCATCACAGATGCTTAACATTCTCTTGAAACCTGACAGGCTTTCTCCAGAAAGCTGAACTACAATGCTGACCATCTGCTACCAACACCAACGAGTTCAACACATGAACTAAATAATGGAGAAGGACACTTCTGTTTAAGTGGGTACTATAGAGCCGTAGCGAGGTCCACATGTTAGTGGCAAATCTGGATGCAAATCCTTGCACTGCCTCCTACCAACTCTGTGACTTTGGTCATTTCTTAACCTCTCTGTAGCTTATTTAGTAAGAATGCCGTGAAGATGAGATGACTCCCTTCATACATTGTTGGGCATCATGCCTCGCCCACCGGGAGGGCTCACTATGTGTCCACAATTGGTTTTTTTTTTTTTCCTTTGAGACTGGGTGTCATTCTCACACCCAGGTTGTGGTGCAATCATAGCTCATGGGAGCCTCGAACTCCAGGCTCAAGGGATCTTCCTCCCTCAAGCTTCTGAATAACTGGGACTACAGGCACATGCTACCACGCCTGGCTAATTTTTGTAACTTTTTTGTAGAGAAGGGGTCTTGCCATGTTGCCCAGGCTGGTCTTGAACTCCTGGGCTCAAGTGATCCACCCACCTTGGCTTCCCAAAATGTTGGGATTACAGGCGTGAGCCTCCACACCAGACTCTTTAGGCGTTTCTTAACCTCTGTGCAGTTAATTTAGTAAGAGCGTTGTCAGCTGGGCACGGTGGCTCACACCTATAATCCCAGCACTTTGGGAGACTGAGGCAGGCAGATCACTTGAGGTCAGGAGTTTGAAACCAGCCTGGCCAACATGGTGAAACCCCATCTGTATTAAAAATACAAAAATTAGCCGGGTGTGGTGGCACACTCCTGTAATCCCAGCTACTTGGCAGGCTGAGGCAGGAGAATCGTTGAACCTGGGAGGCCTCAGAGGTTGCAGTGAGTTGAGATCACGCCACTGCACTCCAGCCTGGGCGACAAAGCAAGACTCTGTATAAAATAAAATAAGATGAATAGAATAGAATAGAATAGCGCTGTGAGGATGAGATGACTCCCCTCATAGAGGGTTCAGCATCATTTCACACACTGGGGTGGCTCAACGTATGTTCACAATTGCTTGTTTTTTTATTTATTTTTTTTGAGACGGAGTCCCGCTCTGTTACCCAGGCGGGAGTGCAGTGATGGGATCTAGGGTCACTGCAGCCTCCGCCTCCTAGATTTCAGCGATTCTCCTGCCTCAGCCTCCTGAGTAGCTGGGGTTACAGATGTGCGCCACCACCCCAGCTAATTTTTGTATTTTTAATAGACATGGGGTTTCGCCATGTTGGTCAGGCTAGTCTTGAACTCCTGAGCTCAAGTGATCTGCCCACCTCGGCCCCCCAAAGTGCTGGATTACAGGCCTGAGCCACCGCACCCAGCCCACTATTACTTTTTCAGGGGAAGTTTCCATTGCAGCACCCCATGGGCACTCCACCATCATGTCCCCCTACCCCTCAATTGAAACTTCTCTCCTTTCCCTCTTGCCTATAAAAATGACCCTTCATTACGTCATTTTCTCTCTGACACGCTAACCCATGACTTGCAGTGCCTGATGATGCAATTTTGACCTGCTTTATAATTGCGGGTTTCAGGCAAGGTGGGAGGCCTTCCACAGTCACCTTGAGAACCACAACTCTTTGGTGCCATCTGCAATCCTCCATATCAGCCCTGCAGATAACAGACAGGAAACTATGGCTGCTGCCTCATTGGAGTAGGACATTCTTTTAAAAAGATCTGGGAGCAGCACTTTGGGAGGTTGAGGCAGGTGGATCACCTGAGGTCAAGAGTTCGAGACCAGCCTGACCAATATGGTGAAACCCCATCTCTACTAAAAATGCAAAAATTAATCGGGTGTGGTGGTGGGCACCTGTAGTCCCAGCTACTCAGGAGGCTGAGACAGGAGAACTGCTCAAACCCAGGAGGCAGATGTTGCAGTGAGCTGAGATTGCACCAACTGCACTACAGCCTGGACGACCTCCCTGTGCTCCCGGTGTTGGGAGACCAACAAGATGGAATCAGGAGCCAGAAACCAAGGCTTAAGTCTCAGCTCTGAGTATTATGGGGGTATTAACACTGACCTCCCAGGATAGGGAGCACAGAGCAGGGAATTCAAAATATTGAAGCCCTGAAACGTCCACTTACTGTACATGAGTCGCTGCTGTCCTCTAGTGGCCACTGGATAAATTGCACAGCACGCTGGCCTGAAGAAGGAGAAGTGGGAGATGCTTTTCCCCACTTCTGAATCTACCTGATGCTGGGGTTCTTAACCAGGCTCCACTCATGACTTCTTTTTCATAAAATATATTTTGTATAATTACAGTAATTTTTAAACATTTTAGGCAGATTTACGGAGGTATTGACATATAATAAACTGTGCATGTACAGAGACTACAATTTGTATCTGACCCTTGGTATACAGCTCAAATCATCACATTCAAGATAGTGAAGATATCCATCCTCTCAAAAAGTTTCCTTGTTGCCCCTGGCGATCCTGCTTTCTGCCCTTTCTACTTCTCCATCACCCCCAAGCAACTACTGATCTACTTTCTTTTTGTTTTCTTTCCATTTTTTTTGAGACAGAGTCTCGCTCTGTCACCCAGGCTAGAGTGCAGTGGCACGATCTTGGCTCACTGCAAACTCTGCCCCCTAGGTTCAAACAATTCTCCTGCCTCAGCCTCCCAAATAGCTGGGACTACAGGTACGCAACACCATGCCTGGCTAATTTTTGTATTTTTAATAGAGACTGGGTTTCACCATTTTGGCCAGGCTGGTCTTGAACTCCTGACCTCAGGTGATCCACCCACCTCAGCCTCCCAAAATGCTGAGATTACAGGCATGAGCCACCGCACCTGACCCCGATCTAATTTCTATCATCATAGGCTAGTTTATATTTTCTAGTGCTTTCTAGACATGGAATCATACAGTGTGTACTTTTTTTGTCAGGCTTCTTTCACTCACCATAATTATTTTGAGATTTATCCATGTTGTTTTGTGTACCAATAGTTCATTACTTTTTACATTTTTAATTGTAGTTTTTGTGGGTACATAGTAAGCGTATGTATTTGTGGGATACCTGAGATGTTTTGATACAGGAATGAAACGCATAATAACCACATCATGGAAAATGGAGTCTCCAGACCCTCAAGCATTTATCCTTTGTGTTACAGACAATCCAATTATACACTCTTATCTTTATTTTCATTTATTTATTTATTTTTGAGATGGAGTTTCACTCTTGTTGCCCAGGCTGGAGTGCAATGGTGCTATCTTGGCTCACTGCAACCTCCGCCTCCTGGGTTCAAGCGTTTCTCCTGCCTCGGCCCCCCAAATAGCTGAGATTACAGGCATATGCCACTAGGCCCAGCTAATTTTGTATTTTTAGTACAAACGAGGTTTCACCATGTTGTTCAGACTGGTCTCGAACTCCTGACATCAGGTGATCCACCTGCATCCGCATCCCAAAGTGCTGGGATTACAGGCGAGAGCCACCGTGCCCAGCCATTAGTTATTTTTAAATATACAATTAAATTATTATTGATTATAGCCGCCCTATTGTACTCTCAAATACTAGGTCTTATTCATTCAGGGTTTTTTTGGTACCCATTAACCATCCCCACCTCCCCTCATTACTTTTTATTGCTGAGTTCTATTCCATTGTATGAATGTACCAAAATGTATTATTAATTCAGAATGATAGTAATTTTAAAAATCAATATAATGCCCTAACTAGAATATACAACAGAAAGTAATCAATATAATGCCCTAACTAGAATATACAACAGAAACTAACTCAAAGGCGAGTTCTGTATAAAGCCTCAGGGAAGCTGGGTATGATGGCTCACA